ACGAATTCTTCAAAGATATACATTTAAACTGGTGTATTTTGATGTGAAATTACAACCAGTAGATCAAGCAACTTGTCAACTCTTTGACAGAATATTAGTGAGAGTAGTTCATCTGCATCATTGGCTTTACTTGAGGCGAGATGAGGCGTTGTCCTTTGGCTCTGTCCTCGTCAAAATATCGCAAAAGGACATTCAAAATTCTGTCCACATTTGTTTGTGGACACTCAATGTTTAAGAAAAAGGTTTCCCTATCAACTTGGTGCTAGTGCACAGCGCAGTTTTATCAACTGCAAATGATTAATGATAATGAAATCTACCAGCGGTAGTGATGGTTCTGAACGACAGGTTATTTTCTGCGATAAAGCCACAGATAGTTTTAGGTCACAGACACAGTCCACCAGAGCAAGCCTAGTCTCAGTTGTCGCTGAATCTGATGCACCAGGTAAAGAAGTGTGGGAAAGTGCACGGACAGCTGCCAAGTGCGCAGTTTTGAGCTGGTGGTGAATCCAAAGCTGTTTTCTCATTACTCCCATATAAAAAAATAATAATAGCGAAGTACGAACAAGCACCGGACACCTTCATCTTTTTGCACCATGAAGCAACAGAATCCCATCGTCTCCACCTCATCCAGCCATGCCCACCTCCATTTATTTTTCACTGTTATCAACAGCAACTTATACAGCTCCTTCTTCCATAAACAACGATCCATGATTGTGATTGTGCGTGCATGCTAGGCTAGCTTTGATGAATGAATATAAGACCTGCTAACACACACCTTTCTTCAGCGAGTTTCTTCCGTTCGCTCTCGTTGATTGGCTCTTTTTATCACGCAGTTTTGCATGCGGATCGCCACCAAGATATTATCAAAAGCTCACCAAGACATGCTTGTCCCCATTCCCAGTCACAGCAAAGTACATATTGTACATTCCGTTAAATAAAAAAGCATTGCGTTTGGTAAACGTTAATTATGTCCTACCTTTCCTCTGATAACGCGCCCAGTTTACCGGTCCGCGGGCTGCTGGCTGTTATTGCTCCGTTCGGGATTACATTTTCCTTGTCCTCTTCTCCTTTTCAAAAGCTCCGTGCACTTTTCAGAAACTTTCACCTCCGTGTTACCATTGCTAACTTGGCTACGTCCCATTGCCTTGAATCATTTACGGAGCGCTCATGTAGCTAGCCACGGCACGTTCAAGGCCCACTCGTTACTTTTTATTTCTATATACATATAAATACAATTATATTCAAATTATTAATATATATCTAGATATATACAACAGATTCACACGTATTACTATATATTTTGTTATAATTAACCATTTCATTGTGTGTATTATATTATTATTATATATTTTGTTTTTTTTTCAGACCAATTTCATTTGACGGAAATCCGTCACTTAGACGGAACTCTTTAATCCCTGCGCTATACACATGCAATCCTTTCATACAATTGGTAGAACACACTTGAACCTTTTTTCAAATGACAGCAATCATTATTTATTTATATATATATTAAAAAAAAAAAAAAAAAAAAAAAAGTGTTTTTTTGTTTTTCTCACGCCGGATTTCCGGCACGGTGCCGGAAAACTTTAAGCCCTGGCTTCAGATGACATAACCACACAAAAAGAGAAAAATGATCTTATTTAGCTTTCAAACACGACCAAAACCCACAAAGTAACAAGAAAATATAAGGTACTTACGTTTTCAGCTCTGGACAAGGTTCAGGAATGAAACTTTGAGCCGCGAGATGACTTTATATAGCACCTGGGTTGCCAGATCCTGTATGGATTTTCATGTAAAAAGTCTCCCAAAAATCCCTTTTTTTGGTTTAAACACATAAAAATGAAAATAATATATTTAGGTAAATTATACATATAAATATATGTATATATAAATGTTCAAATGCCATTTTAAAAATAAATAAAAGTAAAAGTAAGTACCACACAGTCACAAGTACTATATTGTCTGGTAACTCTGTGGTACTGACAATGTGCTCCCACCGGGATTTGAACCGGAAGCCTCGCGGGGGCCAGCCGCGTATAGCGGGCATATCGTGCCAGCCAATCAGAATGAGCCTGTCAGCCACGTGCCTTTGTGATGAAGTCCAACCAATCAAAATGCAGGGGTATTTACAGACGCGAGTTCGAAACCCGTCTCACCCCAAATAAATCAAACTTATTTAAAAGTTTAAAGTTAATAACTGGGTCTCATTTTGACCTTAATAACAGCCACATTACCTTTCAAGTACATAAATGTAACTATTAGAGAGCTTTTTTGAAATACACAATACAATACAATTTATTCTTGTATAGCCCTAGGTCACAACAGAAGTCATCTCAGAGACTTAACAAAACCATTGAAATCACCAACACAGGTCAGAGAATCAACAGTTAAAACACATGAAGAATATAAAGCACACACAGAAGAAAATGTCCATACATGTTGTAGAAAGCGAAAGTGTCCTGATCATCACCAATCCTTTCTGTTGGACACTAACTGTCCAACAAGACCCTCCTGCATCGACAAGGAAAAACTCTTAAAAAACCCAGTGGGAAAAAGTGAGAAACCTTGGGGAGAACTAGGGAAACCCACAGGGAGGGAGACCCATATGAGAAAGGGATCCGCTCCTCCGGACGGACAGGCTAATGATCCACGACCTAAGCTAGCTACAGGACGTGGACCAGTGGCCGCTGAACGTGGACAGGTCCGGTGCAGGACTGAAGCACTCCCAGGCGGGTCGGGCGGGGCAGTCCGCAGGTGTAGATGGAGGAGGCCAGGCTCAGAGATCCCGTCATCGTACCATGAAACAGACAATGGGACAACGGGTGAATAGCAATGAACAAACTAGTCAGAATCCTAAAAGTGCTAAACAGATAAAGTAGATAAAGATAAAACTTGAAATGATCAGTGAATTGACAGTAATATTACACCTGTGGTCCGAGAAGAACCGTGCAGTTCCAAGGTCGAGGGGTCAAACCAGGGTGAGACGAGGGTCAGGGCTCTATTTTCGTTGCTTTTTGCCCATCATTTGAAAACGACTGTAGGTACGGGGCTGATTTTACTGTATGCACATGTCACGGTGGTGTATATTCATGGTCTGAAAGGACAAGTATGTGTGACCTTCGGTTCTACCAAAACTCAAGAAAAAATTCACTTTTTGAGGCCTACAGTCCATTAGGGTCCAAAATCAATGTGGAAAAGAGGCCCTAACGGATAAAGGTTCCATTCCTTTTCTGCTCCAAAAAGATGGAAGACAATCATACTTTGACACAATTTTACAGTATGTTACATATCACGCTATGCTCTTTTCCGATATTTTGGTCCCATTTCGTTTTGACCGCCAGAAACGGAAATAGCGCCCCCTAGGTCCGTTGGACTGGAAACTTTGGAATCCTATTCCTTGTCCATAGTAACAAGTATTCATGAAGTTTGGTGTCGTTTGGACCAAAACCCACCATTTCACGGACCCTGAAAGGCTGAAAACGGCGTTATTTTGAAGCCCCGCCTTTCAAAAACGACATGTCCGACAGACCTCTAACAAACGTTTTTGAACTTGTCTCGTCACTCTTAACAACATACTACAAAGACAGCTTTCAAATACATGCAGAAATGTTTTTGACCACGATTTTCAAATTAATATGAGGATGGTGTCAGAGGCCTAGACCCTTACCCCATCTTAAAAGCCTGATTTACAAACAGCCAATTAACTCCCCTGGGGGTCTCAGCAAAAATCCGACGCTGGATTATGATACAGGGCCCTCGTACCATTCTCTGTACCAAATTTGGTAGCTCTGAGGTCAAAGGTCAAGCTATAATAGCCAAAAAGCAATTGTTCAAAATCATGGCCCAGACCACATTTTCAGGGCCCAAACGTAATGTTGAAACCCATTTTAGCTTCAGCTAGAAAGCTGAAAATTTAGTATGTTCATCAGCAGAGCGTGCCGAGCGCGTCGATACCAGCCACTTGGTCCAACTCCAAGAAAAAGGGGTCAAATTTGGACAAAAGACTGTCTTCACCTTTAACGACTAACTCTCAGGCCTCTATTTGTGTTGCTTTTTCTCCATTAATTCAAAATGACTGTAGGTATGGGGCTAATTTTACTGTACTGTCATGGTGGTGTATAGTCATGAGCCAAAGTTGCAAGTTTGTGTGACCTTTGCTTCTATCGAAACTGGGAGAAAAAACGCCCAAAGTACATATGGGGTTCTTTTGCCATTTCAATAGTATCCCAAATGAAAATCTTGGACACTGACTTTCTGTTCTTCTCCTTGACAAAAACAGAACATGCATTTTCAGAATTTTCTGAACGTTCGCAGCTGCCCATCCCCCCACACTGGCCCCATGATTGACAGGTAGGAGCCCTTTGAAGTACCAATGATCGTCCATAGCTCAATAACGGCTTAATTTTCGAGGCTCAAAATTTGGTATGTTTATCGTGAGCAAGTGCTGAGTCTACTGACCGCTCAGATTTTGAGCCTAACCTTAAGGGTCAAGGGTCGCCCTCCGTTTGGGTCAAAGTGAGTGAGATATTTGGGACCCTAATGACTCACATCAGATGTGAAAAAAACCCTTGAGGCAGGTTTTCTTTGATTGGCCCAAAGAGGCCCCTCCCACTTTCCAACGATCAATAATCCAATAAAGCCCCGTATTGGAAAAAAGTGTCCCCCAATCGGACAGCCACGAGGGTTAACATTGACCATTACCCATTTTGCCCCTGATGGAAATCCCTTCACCCCAAAAAGAAGGGGCGGGGCTTATTTCAGGGGGCAGGGCCCACCCAAAAATAGGTGGACACCGCCATCAACGGTCAGAAGACGGTCATTGCAGGCCATTTTCCTTAATGGAAGCGTAAGTACCCCGTGCCTACCGGTCAGCGTCCCTCAACGGACAATTTGTACCCCACGTCCACTTCACACTTAGTTTTTTTGCACAAAACCCCTTTTGGAAGTGGCCTCAAAGTAAAATTTGGTCCATTACGGTTGGTCGTCTCAGCCTTGTCTGCCTAGATGCGGTGGCGGCTGGCGTATGGCCGGGGTTTCGTGACCTGGTCCCCTGGTTCTTGGGCGCGCGTCGGATCGCGGCATCGTATGGCGCTCGGGGCCGTTGCGGCTTCCCTCTGGTCCGGCTTGCCGGATCTTGGGGTCGCTCGTCTCGGCCCCGTCCGTTGGTGTCGCGGTTGCTGGCGTGCGGTCGGGGATGGGGTTGCCTTGTTTCTGTGCCCTGGGCGTGCGTTATGCGGTGGCGGTAGGAAAGGTGTTCGCGGCCGTGGCGGCTTCCCCTTGTCTGGTTCTCTGGGCCTGGTCGGCTCGGCCGGGTTCGCCAAAATGTGGTGGTCGTGGGCATACGGCTTGATGTTCGTGACCCTGTGTCTCGTTCGCTGAGCGTGCGTCAGACTGCGGTGGCCTTTGGTGTTCATGGCCCTCGTTGCACCCTCCTATTGTCCGACGTTACGGGGGGTGATTAGCTGCTTGGGCTCTGGACGCCCGGTCGTTGCGGTTAAGGGCGTACGGTCGCGCGGGCCTGACCTCGTTCCCTCGGGTATGTATCGCCCTGAGAAAGCTGGGAGGTGCTCGGGGCCGCTACTGTTCCCCCAGTCCGTGGGGTTGCTTGTGGCGGTCTTGTCTACCCTTGCAGCTCCTCGGTGATTTCCCTGATGGTTAACTATCATTACTCTTGCAGATTGGGGTGTTGGAATGGAGGACAAGTCCCTACCAAAACTGTCCTGGCCAAACCCCGGTTTCCACACCCCGACGCTGGGGAAGAGAGGTGCCCAGCAAGCCCCCTCAAGTCTGCAGGTGGTGAAGAGGCCAAGATGGGAGCCACCGAGGCGGCTCTCCACCCCGCCGCCGCAGCTGCCACAAGGAGCCATCAATGAGGGCCTCAGGCGGGCGCTCTTTCCTAAGACCAAACCGCTGGAGAGTATACTCTTCATGTCCTACATGGAAAAGATTGTGGGCTTACCCGAGCTCACCAAGGGCAGGCTACCCTCACACGTGTGGGTCGGACTTAGAGCACCTTGGAGAGCCCCATCTCCCTGTCCCTTATGTGCAGCCAACCTGTCTTCCTTGGGACTGGCCGGAGCCCACTTCAGAAAGACACATGGCGCTAGGAGGATTCTCCTGTTGTGTGCTAAATGCGGCACCTCATCCTTCAAAACGAGCTCCATGACGGGTCATGCGAGTAAATGCAAGATAGGGCGAGAGATGAAAAAGGATGGGGGGGATTTCGCCTGTGCGCTATGTGCCAAACACCTGAAGACACAAAGAGGCCTTTCCCAGCACCTAAGACTGGCTCACCTTGGCGCCTACCTGGAGATGGGGCGAAAATCCAAAGGTCCGTTGCTGCTAAGGCCTCCGGGCCCGGGTCTCTCCAACCTCCTGGAGAAGCTCAACACGCCTTTGATGAATGTCCCAAGGGTCAATGAACTTGTTCACGTAATGCGAGCCAACTGGGGTCCCCCTGGGCAAACCACAAGAGTTGGCATAAACAGAGAAGCCAGGAATCTGGTGATCAAGTTCAGAAGTAAACTTGGTCTGACCAAGTTTACGGGCCAAAGCAAGATCCAAAATGCACCCCGTCTACCAAGGAACATCAAGGAGGCGTACAAGTTGACCCAGGATTTATGGTGGAGAGACCCCTGTAAAGCCGCGCAGCTTATCCTTGATGGTGCCCCGCCGAACTGCGTGCTCCCTAGGGCTACCATCGAAGAGACCTATAAGCAGATTTGGTGCGGGCGCGACGACAGATTCAAGTCGCTGGCAGGATTCGGAAAACTCCCGGTGGCAAATAACAATGAATTCCATTCAGTAGTGACTGGGTTGGAAGTGGTCCGTACCTTAAAAAGAATGGCCAAAAAGAGTTGCCCGGGACCCGACGGGCTGCGGAGGTCCCAGCTTCTCCTCCTTGACAGGAAGGGGCTAAAGTTGGCGAAGTTATTCAATGACTGGTTGAGGTCGGGGATGATCCCAAAAGTCTTCAAAGCCAGTAAGACGACCCTGATCCCTAAGTCTATTGAACCAGAACTCTGTGGCGTGGTTGGGAACTGGCGGCCACTGACGATAGGCTCCACCGTTCTGAGGGTTTTCTCCAACATATTGGCCGCGAGACTTTCAAATGCTTGCCCGGTACACCCCCGCCAGAAAGGGTTCGTCAATGGCTCAGGGTGCAGCGAGAACCTCACAGTCCTAAACGGACTGATAACTTTGGCGAAGAAAGAAAGAAGGGAACTGGCTGTGGTGTTTATCGACTTGGCGAAGGCGTTTGACACAGTCTCACACCGGTTGATTAGGGAGACGCTGACTCGGAGGGGAGTTGACCAACTGGTGGTCAAGGTAATTATGGATGGTTACAGGGGCTGCTCATCCTCAATAAGAACGATCGAGGGACCCACCAAGGAGATCCCAATCAAGTTGGGAGTCAAGCAAGGAGACCCGCTATCCCCGCTCCTCTTCAACCTGGCGCTCGATCCGTTGCTCTATGCCCTGGATGATGTGAAAACAGGGTTTGAGTTCGGTGAAGATGCTGCCCTCGCGGCAATGGCATTCGCCGATGATCTTGTGCTGGTTAGTGGCAGATGGGAGGGCATGAGATCCAACCTGGCAGTGTTGGACGCCTTCTGTGACAGGGTGGGTCTGGCTGTGAACCCGGACAAATGTGTGGCGTTCCACATTGGGCATAAAGGTCGGAAAGGGGTCCTTAACGCCTGTCCTACCTGGACCATTAACGGCCAGCCAATCAGGATGTTAAATGGACAAGAACAGGCAAAGTATCTTGGGGTCGAGATACACCCATGGAAGGGAATCTGCTGTCCCCCCCTGGCTCCAAAGCTCGAGAGCGGCCTTGTCAGAATAGACAAGGCCGGGATCAAACCGCACCGGAGGCTGGTGGTGCTAAGATCCTACCTCCTACCAAGGCTCCTCTACGTCTGTGACCACTCGGGACTCTCTAGGGCAGTGTCTCCCAAAGTGGGGTCCGCGGCCCCCTGGTGGGCCGCGAGGGTACTGCAGGGGGGCCGCGGGAGGTCATAAAAAAAATAAAAAAATATAATTATTTAATGTTAAATTTATAATGTTTTGTTTGTAATATTAAAATATTTGTTCATTATTTGACTTGAATAAGCCACTGTAATCATTTTTGTATTACAATGTTTGTAGCAGAGGCTATTTCCCCAAAATAAAATAACCAGAAGAGCCTATTCTTAATGTTGTCTTCTTGGTTATTATTTTGGGGGGCCACGCAGACCCGTCAGATTTTTAAGGGGGCCTCGGTGTTACTGAGTTTGGGAATGGCTGCTCTAGGGGATCGCTCAGGGCCCTAGATGCCAAGGTAAAGGTTGCAGTAAAAGGTTGGCTGCACCTGGACCGGTCTACAACGGACGGTCTCCTGTATGCCAGGTTCAAAGATGGGGGTCTTTCGATTCCCAGACTTGAGAGACAGGTCCTGGTCATGAGACTGAACAGGCTTCTCAGGATGGTGCATTCGGAGTATCCAGTTACCAATGAGATCACCTCACTGCTTGACCTGGAAGCCAAGGTGAGGGAGCTATACCTTGAGCTCACAGGTATAGATGCACCTGAAGACCTGGGCGACGTAGAAGCCCAAAAGCTGCGCTGCTCCAACATGAAGATCCTGGAGCACAACAGGTGGAAGCTCCTGAGGTCGCAGGGCAAAGGGGTTGAAGTGTTCGCCAATGACCAAGTCTCAAACTTTTGGCTGAGGCAGCCTGTTGTCTCTGGGCTGACGGTTCCCGAGTTCCTGGTGGCTCTCAGGTTGAGGACAAACACAGTGATCATGAGGTACTCGGCGGTTGCCAGGGCACCTAACGCCGACTCGAGCTGCAGGTTCTGCAAATACCCGAATGAGACCCTGCCTCACATTATAGGCAATTGCCCTGAATTCAAGAAGAACAGGATGACCGCCCACAACAAGGTTTGTGGCAGGTTGGGTGACCTGGCATCGGTTAAAGGCTGGAAGTTCCTAAGGGACGAGCATGTCATTGTCTCTGGAAAGACATGGGTCCCAGACCTTATCATAACCAAAGATGGAAAGGGCATGATCCTGGATGTCACCATCTGCTTCGAGAAACACTTGAGCACCTTGAGGGAGAAAGCTGAAGCAAAGCAGCGTAAATACGAACACCTGAAGCCGGTATTGGAAAAAGGCCTTAAACTCTCCCAGGTGACAGTGGAGGGCTTCACCATGGGTGCGAGAGGGAAGTGGCACAAAGGCAACTACAGGATACTGGAGGAGATGGGCTTCTCGAAGGCGGCTATGAAGCTTGAAGCGAGAAGGCTATCGAAACTAGTCCTTGTCAACACGATAAGGACTATCCGACATAGGCCAGAATCAGACCTTAAGGCCTTACCCCCCAGCAAGGCCTTAAACTCTTCCAGGTGACAGTGGAGGGCTTCCCCATGGGTGCGAGAGGGAAGTGGCACAAAGGCAACTACAGGATACTGGAGGAGATGGGCTTCTCGAAGGCGGCCACGAAGCTTGAAGCGAGAAGGCTATCGAAACTGGTCCTTGTCTACACGATAAGGACTATCCGACATAGGCCAGAATCAGACCTTAAGGCCTAAACCCCCAGCAGTTCCCCTTAAGGAAAAAAAAAATTTAAAAAAAGGCAGTGGGGATGATAATGTAAGTCCAACCTTCCCCCACTGACCTTATTCCCCTCCCAGTGTTCATAGTTCCAGGCACTGCACGGCGGGGAGGGGACGTTCTGCTGAAAAAGTTGGAAATGGTTGTGGCAAACTTCCACGGGGTCACTATGTAAGTGAACTGCTGCCACGTGGTGACCCCACCCCTGGATATAGCGTTAAGCGAGACGCCACTCCAGGGAAGGACCTGTGGTAGGTCAAAGCTGAAGACAGACGCGGGTCTGTATCGTGATGGTAAAAGTTGGTGTCCCTCCAAATTGGGGGGGTGTTGCGCTGTAAGTTGGAAGTGGTCGATACCAACCTCCACGGGGTCACTATGTAAATGATATATTGCAACGTGGTGACCCCACCCCCGGCTATGACGTTAAGCGAGACGCTAACGTCGCTTGAGTTCAATCGCCATACTGTTCTTTTCCTTTCTGTTCCCAAGGCCATAGTTAAATATAAAGGACAGTGATCAGATAAGTCCATTACACCAATCTCACAGCTATCTATTTTGTACCTATCCTTCCCATAAATGAAAAAATAATCGATCCTTGAGTACGAAGAGTGTGGTACAGAGAAGTAGGTATAGTCCTTTTTAGATGGGTTTAGCTCCCTCCATATTTCTAGAATCCCGAGCTGTGAGATCAGTTTCCTTATTCTTTTGCCAACAGTATTTTGTTGTTTGTCCTGACGAGTCCAAATATGCATTGAGCCTTTGATTCAAATCCCCTCCTCCAATCAATGTTCCCTCTCCTTCAGTTGTTACCAAATCAAAAATATGTCTAAAAAAATCCCAGTCTGATCCTGGAGGAGCATAAACATTCAATAATGTGACTAATTCCCCCTCCAATCTGCCTGTCACCAAAACATACCGACCCTCTTTGTCCTTGATTATTTTCAGCATCTCAAAGGTGACCCTCCTTGACACCAGTATTGACACCCCGCGCCTTCGGCCTGACTGTAACCATTCCTCTTCAACTTTTCATGCTCTTTTACTGTTAAATGGGTCTCCTGTAAAAAAAACTATCCCGACTCCTTCCTTCTTCATTTTACTTATTACTTTACTTCTTTTAATTGGGTTACCAAGGCCATTAACATTGTAAGAGGCCACTTTCACATTATTATGTGTCGTCATTTACTAAAACACTGTTCCAAACCTGTTTTCCCACCCCATGTGCTACAAAAAAGAACGAGAACAAACAGAAAATTAAAACGAATTCCAAACCTGAGGTTGTACCTTCTTCAACCTTTGAGCTCTTTCCCAGCTCTGAGGGAAAACCCCTGACCTTCAGGGGGCCCTCACGACCTATTTCAGCCCTTTCCATGAGTCAAGTTTTTAAACAAGTTCCCCGTGTATCATCTTGACAATATTTCCCCATCACTAGAACATTAAAGTGCACTTTATTCTTCTGCAATATGCTGTCCTTCCAGTTTGATTGTCTTACTCTTGTACAGTCTCTGAGGATCTTCTAAAAGTCTGCGGCTTCTCCTTGAATCCCATCTCTAGTGTTTTCCCCTGGTCCTGTCGCCCTGCCCTCTGGGCGGTATGCCACATCCGATGCTGGATATTTTCCATTGGATTTATTGCCGCTTTCACAACTCGAACCTGAAGTCCTCTGTCCGCCATATCTCTTGTAGCCTCTGCTGCTGAGTTGTATAGGCGTGTCTCTCCCTCATAAAAGACACGGAACTTCGATGGAAACGGCGTCTGGAATCTGATTTTTTTCTTCCTCAGTACTTTCTTCGCCTCAGCATATTCCTTCCTCATCTTCATCACTTCAGGAGCATAATCATGGTCAATATACACCCTGCATCCTTCAAAGACAAACCCCTTTTTCTTCCATGCCTTCTTGATTATGTCTTCTTTACATTTGTAGCTTGAAAGCTTTGCTATTATGGATCTCGGCGGTACACCATCCGCTGGGCGAGGGCCTAGTGATCTGTGTGCGCGTTCCACTCCGAGTTCGTATGCTACTGGCAGCTCTAACTTTTCTTTGAGTAAAGTTTCCACAAATGCACTCACAGACTCGGCATCCTTTTCTGCTCCCTCTTTAATCCCATGTAATCGAACGTTGTCTCTTCTGGCTCTTCCTTCCTGGTCTACTTGTTTCTCTTTCAGCTTCTTGCAAAATTGAATGAGCTCACATGTCGCCTCCTCCATATACTGGATACGCTCCTCCGTATCCCCAATCCGTTTCTCAGTCACATCAATCCTACAGTTTGCTTTCCTAATATCTTCCCTGATGGCGTTCAGGCTCTCCACCGTTTCCCGTCTGAATTCTCTTATCTCACGCAGAACTGTATCCAAGTCTGACATTTTCTGTCCAACCCGCACCGTATCTGATGTTAGCTCCTCCGCTAATTCCTCTTCTGAACCAGCTAGCTCCTCCGCTAGCCCGACGTCTTCATTACGGCGTTGTTTGACGATACCAGTGCTCTTTCTGACTTTTCTTCCAGGCATTTCGCAAGCCCTTTTCGTTATCTTCTTTTAAATCTCAGTGTTATCCTCAGGCTTGGGCCATACGGGGTGAATTTTTAACTTTTTAACAGGGACGTGCGTGTCTACGGTGTTGCCATGTTTGACCCGGAACCTCCCCACCACCGGTTTTCAAGATGGCGCATTTACACGGATAGTCCTCCTCTCTCACGGACACTTATAAGTTCAATTCTAAGCCTAAGAATACAATTAAAAAACACATGGTGGAGGTAAATATTCTTAAAAAGGTCACATTTGTTTTTAGTTAACATGTTTTTTCACATGGAGCAGCTGTAAAAATTACACAGGGTGGCTTTAAGTGGTGACTGGTTAAGTTTAGGGTTAAGGCTGGGTTGGGGTTATTTTATGGGAATGGCTAGTTAAGTTTAGGAATGAATAGGTAGTTTTTTTACATATACTTCCACTTCCGTCCAGATTCCGTGACGTAATCTACTGCTGCGTATGATCATTGGATCAAACTGAACTTCCGGACGAATTCGGTTTCCGGGACGAATACGGGAGTGACAGTCACGCTGAATTTTTTGTTTAACCGCCTCCCTGCGCGATTGCAAATGTACTCAAGGTACTCAAGGGACTCTCATACCGTGGCTCACACACATATATATACAGTGCCTTGCGAAAGTATTCGCAAGGCCCTTGAACCTTCCAACATGTCGCCACATTTCAGGCTTCAAACATAAAGATATAAAAATTTTATTTTTTGTCATGAATCAACAACAAGTGGGACGCAATTGCGAAGTGGAACAAAATGTATTGGATAATTTAAACTTTTTTAACAAATAAAAAACTGAAAAGTGGGGCATGCATTATTATTTGGCCCCTTTACTTTCAGTGCAGCAAACTCAGTCCAGAAGTTCAGTGAGGATCTTTGAATGATCCAATGTTGTCCTAAATGACTGATGATGATAAATAGAATGCACCTGTGTGTAACCAAGTCTCCGTATAAATGCACCTGCTCTTTGATAGTCTCAGGGTTCTGTTTAAAGCGCAGAGAGAACCATGAAGACAAAGGAACACACCAGGCACAGAATAGGGAACTTGTAAAGAATGGCAGGTTGTTCACCTATGAACAAGTGACGTCCTGGGCAAAAGACGAAGAATCACTTAAAAGGTTTGTTTTCACATTTTGCTTGTTTTGAATATTAAATCCATATTAGACGCTATTAATTACAATAGTATAACTATTTTTGACTTGATTGTATCTTGTTCATGCTGTAGCTAATTTAACTTTTTACAAATGTCCTGTTTTCCAAGGATGATGGTTGAACTGGAGAGGCGTACATTGATTGTTCACGGAGCCCCCCTTCCTGAGCACAACACCATCGGTGAGGCGGCACAGACAGAGTCCAGGGACCAGGATGAGACTGGAGGCCCGGCTGACGTTGCCTCTGAGAGCAGTGGCGAGTACTATCAAAATGTCCCTGAAGTGAATTATTCCACTGCGGCCAAGAAGAACATGGCTGCAATGGGCCTTTATGGCATACATCCAATGGATCACCCTCTGTTAAAAGACTTTGCCACATTTCTCAAGGAGACAAAAAAATTTGAAAACTTCATCCAAGATGTCAGGAATGTGTCCAGGTTCTTGTTTTATGCAAACCCTGAGGAAGCTTCCTTGCAGTTTGTCAACAACCGAGAATTGCTCAGATTGTTTATACGGCGTCTTACTGGGGCACAATTGAAAGCTCAGTCTCGGCTGAATTACCTCAAAAGCCTGAAACTTTTTCTGGATTTCCACACACATTATTCAGATTTGGCAAAGGAAAATGCTGTTCTGTATGAACAGTGTGTGAACTTCATTGATTTCCTTAAATCTGAGAAAAAAGCCATGTCTAAGGGGGTGAGCAAAGAGCTGGTTCAGAAGAGGTAAGTTGTAAATGATCGCACTACAGAATACTTTCTCTGAAATATGATTTTTTAATACAGTTAATGTCTTTTGTCATAGGCACAGCTTGTTGACTAGCGGGGACCGCATGCTGCAACCCCAGGACTGCACTGCTGTTCTTAGGGTGGCAAAAGCTGACTTTTTAGCCATCATGAACAAGCTGGCTAAGAACTCTTCTGCTATTCTGCAGTCGCCAGAATGCGTTTTTGTAGTTTATTACCTGGAGGGTGTGATCATTTTAAAACACCTCCAACGACCAGGCGTGGTGAGCCACATGACTGTCGTTGAGTGGCTCTCCAAGAGGGAACTGGATGGATTTTTTGTCATTGGGATAAAGGAGCACAAAACTGCAGCTACACAGGTGGCCTCAATCGGCCTGAGCCAGGAGGAGGTTCATGTGAGTTTAAATCAAACACACGTCCATCTGTGCATTACTCTGCTCTGTGTTCAATAGCAGAAAAAACATCTTAATTCCCCTTTCTGCTCTGTGTTCAATAGCAGAAAAAACATCTTAATTCCCCTTTCTCCTCTGCCAACAGTGGTTTGATTTCTACTACAAACTGGTGCGGCCACAGCTCCTCATGGCGAGCAGGAAACGCAAAAGGGATGATGTTGAAGCAGACGACAAGTTTTTTGTTTCCTCAACAGGAAAGATGATTAATAATCCAACGAACGATCTGACTCGTCTGCACGCAAAGTAAGTTTCCCCTCTCATAAAGTCGTTCTCATGTGTGGTTCATTGCAGTCTCAGGTCAATGTGATACATTTCTAACACTGTATGAACCTGCATTTCAGATACAACCTCCCAAATGTGAGCAGTCAGATGGCACGTCGAGCCTGTGAGATGGCAGCTAAGAGCATGACAGAAAGTGAGAAGTCATTGTTGGCCAGTTATTTGACTCATTCTGATGCAACAGCGGAGAAGCATTATAGGATGGAGAGGGTTGAGGACATTGTAAAAGCCTCTCGGATTTTGGGGAAACTTCAGGATCAGGGACAATCACGGTGAGCATAGTTTACAATTCATTACATATTTAGACATGTACTCGTATTCTGATTTTTTTTGTCCAATGTAGTGCTGTTTCTCTCGTGGTCTCACTCGCTCTCGTCTCTGTTCTGTCTTGCTCTCACTCTCTCTCTCTGGTCTGTCTCTCTTTGGTCTCTCTGGTTTACATTACATTTAATTACATATTTATACATGTACAATGTCCAATTGTATTCTGATTTTTTTTTTTGTTCCATGTAGTGCTGTACCTTCAGGGCAAGATGCCGGCCTCGAGGATCCTGAGGAGGGTCCTAGTCGTGCACATGCTGACGCTGTCACACCTGAAGCACCTGTCACACCTGTCAAGGAGGCAGTGATTTGTCTGCCAAGGATCCAACTGGACAACGACAAGGTCAAACTCCAAGAGGCTTTGAGAGAACTCATTGACAAACACCCCATTACACTGAGTGGTGCTGGGCCGTCACCGAGATCCCGCAAAAATGTATCCAAAGACTTTCATAAAAGACTGGCCATTCGCTGGAAGAAACAGCAGTTAAAGCTGCGTGTAGAACACACCCGTGATGAGTATTGTCCACCATATTACAATTTATTTAACCTTAAAAATAATGGAATAGTCTATATTTAGCGCTATATCGTTTTGTAATTATTGTATCCATAACTAAAAGACTTTATTTACTTTTTTATTTTGACAGCTCATTTCAGTCGGCGTCTGCCATCGAAGGACCGTCTCAATGCATGGGTGAAAAGACAAGGTTGGAAGGGAATGGACGACATCGTTGAGGAAGTTCTCCAAAACTGGGCACCATCTGGATCTGAGGAACGACTTCAGGACAGCAAGCAGATCCAGGATCTTTGTCAGACCCAGAAGTGGAGAGGACTTCATGTGAAGGAGTTTGAAGGGAAAGGCCGTGGCGTAGTCACAACACGCAGATTCCAAGCTGGGGAGGTGGTGTGTGACTACCACGGGACTGTCGTCAGAGCCAAAGAGGGAAAGAGAATTCACCAGACCACCAGTGAAAGCGAGACGGGATACATGTTCTTTTTCCAAAACGCAAAGGGAGAAGGATTTTGCATTGACGCCCACTCAGAACACTGCATTTGCCACCCAGGCATGCAGACTCTGGGCAGACTCATAAACCACTCCAAAAAGAGGGCCAACATAAAGCCCAGGCACTGCACCTATAAAATAGATGGAAAGGAAAAGGATCATGTCCTTTTCATTGCCACCAGAGCTTTGGAGGTGGATGAGGAAGTGAAATTCGATTATGGAGTAAGTAAGAAGTCGTTTGGTGGAGAGGGTGAACAGCTCAACTGGCTCAACAATGCATAGCCATTAAGCCTCTGTCTAGAAAGCAGAAATCAAGACAAGACGGGCCGCAAGGTAAATAAAGTGTATATATGTATATAAATTGTTTGAAGTTATATGAAGACTAAAATGTGTTTTCTCTTCTCTTTTATCCACATCTACAACTTCTACAATCTGAATCATCGCTGAGAAACTACTCACACAAAGACAATGGACCTGATTTTGTTTGGATTGTAAACATGTTTTAATCCTGGACTTTCATATTCTGAAATAAATCATTATTTTTGTTTAAACATTTTATCTGGATCCTCCTTCACTTCAACTCATGACAGAACCATGTGTGATTATGGTCTCTCCCTGGTCTGTTTATTTAGAGATAAGAAATGACTATTTCACTTATACTCCTGAACTCAGCATTTATTGTACAATCTTTAATACTAAAACACAGGGTCACTATGAGTCAGCTCTGTCTGGTCTCTCTGGTCAGTCTAGTCTCTCTCAGGTCTCAGTCTGGTCTCTGGTCTAACAAATGTTATATAATAGCAGTAAGTCTAGTCCATAAATGAATCTCATGTCACTGAGTCAGGCCTCAAACACTTGTGGCAGTTTATTTACAGAGACAGAGGAAATGTTTATTTCCAATAATATTATTTGTTTATAATCTGAGCTGCAGATAATAAATCTAATCCTGAGATAGACCGGTCATAACAGTTGAGATCTATAACATCTCTCAGTCTAAGAGGCCACTTTGCAGACCCCTTCCCCCATCAGCATTCCAAGGTGTGACTTCTATTGTTCTGACCTATTGTTTCACAGCAGGACGCTGCAGAGCTGGGCCCAGGGAAAATACACTTAAACTCCTGAACTCTACAGCATTGTATGGCTTGTAAATAAATGCAATCTTTAATACTAAAGCAATGAGTCAGCTCTCTCTGGTCAGTTTGCTCTCTGTCTGGTCCCTCTCTAAAAACTGTTGCTTTAAACTATGCAAAACTATTACTTTGAAGTGATTTATTTACTTATTATTTGTGTGTCCTTTCAAAGCAATATTAAACTCGTCGGTGATCAATTTACTTAATATTTTTGTGTTCAATCAATGTAACTTTACTAAAATCTCCACTTAAACCCCTGCTCAGAAAGAGCCAAGAGAGGGGGAGATTTAATTATCATTAAAATAGAACCAGAAGGCCTAGAGGCACGGGGTTTGGACCCACGGACTCGTCTGGTCCCGTGCTACAACATTTATGAATTTCATGCATGGGGGATTAAAGACAAAAAAGTTAGACCGGTGACCCTGTGATAAAAGCCCCCTAAAAAGCGTCTGGAGCTCTAGAATGTAAACAAAAAATCATTAAAAATCAAGCAGAAGGCCCAGAGACGTGGGTATTGAACCCACAGACTCGTCTTGTCCTGGGCTACAACCGGTGTGAATTTGAGGACCAGAGGGAGACCAGAGGCGGAGTGAGAGCTGAGACCAGCGTTAGATGAATCTGGATAATTTCAGCATATATGGTGAAAATCTCCACTTTAACCCCTGCTCAGAAACAGCCAAGAGAGGGGGAGATTGAATTATCATTAAAATAGAACCAGAAGGCCTGGAGGCACGGGGTTTGGACCCACGGACTCGTCTGGTCCTGTGCTACATCCTCTGTGAATTTCAGACACTTTGTCATTTTTTCCTCAAAAAGCGTGTGTGTCTGGGAATACAGGGAGAGCCTCCAGAAATTCGTTAAAAATCAACGCAGAGGCCCAGAGACTCGCGGTCTCAACCCAGGGACTCGTCTTGACCTGGGCTACCACCCCTGTGAGTTTCATGCACGGGGGACAAGAGACGGGAATGTTACACCGGTCTGAAATCACCGGGGGACAGCGCGGCCGCGTCCGCTCACGAGCGCCTATTCTCGGTCAAGAAAGGGGCGGTTTCCCGGGCCCGTAAAAGGCGAACCAGGGGGGCTAGAGACACGGGGTTTACACCCACCCACTCCTCCGGACCTGGGCTACATCCTCTGTGAATTTCACTCATGGGAACAGAAAGACAAAAAAGTTACGGCCTGCGTAAAAGGGACTTGAGCTCACAAGACACTTTGTCATTTTTTCCTCAAAAAGCGTGTGTGTCTGGGAATACAGGGAGAGCCTCCAGAAATTTGTTAAAAATCAACGCGAATCAGACCAGCATCTGCAATCAACTTCGACCTACCACAGGTCCTTCCCTGGAATAGCGTTTCACCTTACGTCATGTCCAGGGGTGGGGTCACCACGTGGCAACTTTTATTTACATAGTGACCCCATGGAAGTGGGCCACCACTTCCAACTTAACAGCGCAGCTCCCCTACCATGTGGCGGGTCGCCCAATTTAGACTGTCATGGCGCAGACCCGCGTCTGTCTTCAACTTTGACCTGCCGCCGGTCCTTCCCTGGATTGTCGTCTCACTTTACGTCCTAGCCAGGGGTGGGGTCACTACGTGGTATCAGTTCCTTTACATAGTGACCCCGTGGAAGTTTGCCACAACCACTTCCAACTCTTTCAGCAGGATCGTGTGACCCTGGGACTGCACACACTGAGAGGGGAATAAGGTCGGTGGGGGAAGGTTGGACTTACATTATCGTCCCCACCGCCTTTTCTTTTGTTTTTTTCCCAGAAGGGGAACTGCCGGGGGTCAGGCCCCAAGGTCTGATTCTGATTCTGGCCTCCTGTTTCAATAGCCTTCTCGCTTCAAGCTTCGTGGCCGTCTTCGAGAAGCCCATCTCCTTCCTTCATGTAGTTGCCTTGGCCACTTCCTTCTCGCACCCAAGGGGAAGCCCTCCACTGTCACCTTTTGGAGAGTTTAAGGCCTTGCTGGTGGGTAGGCCTTAAGGTCTGATTCCGGCCTTGTATATTCGGATGGGTCCTTATCGTATTGACAAGGACCAGTTTCGACAGCCTTCTCGCTTCCAGCTTCATAGCCGTCTTCGAGAAGCCCATCTCCTCCAGTATTCTGTAGTTGCCTTTGTGCCACTTCCCTCTCGCACCCATGGGGAAGCCCTCCACTGCCATATGGGAGAGTTTAAGGCCTTTCTCCAGTACCGGCTTGAGGTGTTCGTATTTTTGCTGCTTCGCTTCAGCTTTCTCCCTCAAGGTGCCAAGGCTTTGCTCGAAGCAGATGGTGACATCCAGGACCATGCCCTTGCCATCTTTTGTTATAATAAGGTCCGGGACCCACGTCCTTCCAGAGACAATGACATGCTCTTCCCTTAGGACCTTCCAGCCTTTTTCCGATGCCAGGTCCCCCAGTCTGCCACAAACCTTGTTGTGGGCGGACATCCTGTTCTCTTTGAATTCAGGGCAGTTGCCTATAATGTGGGGCAGGGTCTCCTTTGGGTATTGGCAGAACCTGCAGCTCGAGTCAGCGTTGGGTGCCCTGGCCACCGCCGAGTACCTCATGATCACCGTGTTGGACCTCAACCTGAGAGCCACCAGGAACTCAGACCGTCAGCCCCGAGACAACGGGCTGTCTCAACCAAAAGTTTGAGACTTGGTCATTGGCGAACACTTCAACCCCTTTGCCCTGCGACCTCAGGAGCTTCCATCTGTTGTGCTCCAGGACTTTCATGTTGGAGGAACGCAGCTTTTGAGCCACTACATCGCCCAGGTCTTCAGGTGCGACTATACCTGTGAGCTCAAGGTATAGCTCCCTCACCTTGGCTTCCAGGTTAAGCAGTGAGGAGATCTCATGGGTAATTGGACACTCTGAGTGAATCATCCTGAGTAGTCTGTTCAGTTTCATGATCGGGACTTGTCTCTCGAGTCTGGGGATTGAGAGACCCCCATCCTTGAACCTGGCATACAGTAGACCGTCTGTTGTAGACCGGTCCAGGTGCAGCCAACCTTTAACTGCAACCTTGACCTTGGCATCTAGGGCCCTGAGCGATCCCCTAGAAAGTCCCGAGTGGTCACAGGCATAGAGGAACTTCGGAAGGAGGTAGGATCTCAGCACCACCAGCCTCTGGTGCGGTTTGATCCCGGCCTTGTCTATTTTGACAAGGCCGCTCTCGAGCTTCGGAGACAGGGGGGGACAGCAGACTCCCTTCCATGGGTGTATCTCGACCCCAAGATACTTTGCCTGCTCTTGCCCATTTAGCAACCTGACTGGCTGGCCGTTAATGGTCCAGGTGGGACATGCGTTTAGGATCCCTTTTCGCCCTTGATGTCCAATGTGGAACGCCACACATTTGTCCGGGTTTACAGCCAGACCCACCCTGTCGCAGAAGGCGTCCAACACTGCCAGGTTGGACCGCATACCCTCCCAGCTGCCACTAACCAGCACAAGGTCGTCGGCGAATGCCATTTCCGCGATGGCAGCATCCTCACCGAACTCAAATCCTGCTCTACCATCATCCAGGGCGTAGAGCAGTGGATCAAGCGCCAGGTTGAAGAGGAGCGGGGATAGCGGGTCTCCCTGCTTGACTCCCAACTTGATTGGGATCTCCTTGGTGGGTCCCTCGCAAGTTCTTATTGAGGATGTACAGCCCCTGTAACCATCCATGATTACCTTTACCACCAGCTGGTCAACACCCCTCCGAGTCAGCGTCTCACCAATCAGCCGGTGCGAGACCGTGTCAAACGCCTTTGCCAGGTCTATAAACACAACAGCCAGTTCCCTTCTTTCCTTCTTCGCCAGTGTTATTAGTCCGTCAATGACCGTAAGGTTCTCGCTGCATCCTGAGCCATTGACAAACCCTTTCTGGCGGGGGTGTACCTGGCAAGCATTCGAGAGTCTCGCGGCCAATATGTTGGAGAAGACCCTTAAAACGGTGGAGCTTATCGTCAGTGGCCGCCAGTTCCCAATCACGCTACAGAGTTCCGGGTCAATAGATTTGGCGGCACGGTGGCTGAGTGGATAGCACTCTCGCCTATCAGCAAGAAGGTCCTGGGTTCGAATCCCGGCCGGACCAGGGCCTTTCTAAGTGGAGTTTGCATGTTCTCCCCGTGTCTGCGTAGGTTTCCTCCGGGTACTCCGGTTTCCCCTATCACTAAAAATATGTACAATAGGTCTGGCATGCGCCTCCTGTACTGGCGACCCCGCTCCCATCTCTGTGTGGAGTGAGAGGACAAGTGCCCAAAAAATAATAACAATTGTAAACCGCTTTGTGACCTTTGTCTGTGAAAGGCGGTATATAAATAAACATTACTTACTTACTACTTACTAGATTTTGGGATCAGGGTTGTCTTGCTTGCTTTGAAGACTTTGGGGATCATCCCCGCCCTCAACCAGTCATTGAATAGCTTTGCCAACTTTAGCCCCTTCCTGTCACAGAGAAGCTGGGACCTCTGCAGCCCGTCGGGTCCCGGGCAACTCCTCTTGGCCATTCCTTTTATGGTACGGACCACTTCCAACCCAGTTACTGCTGGATGGAATTCTTTGTTGTTTGTCACCGGGAGTTTTCCGAATCCTGCCAGCGACTTGTATCTGTCGCGCCCGCACCAAATCCGCTTATATGTCTCTTCGATGGTAGCCCTAGTGAGCACGCAGTTCGGTGGGGCACCATCAAGGATAAGCTGCGCAGCTTTGTGGGGGTCTCTCTGCCACAATTCCTGGGTCAACCTATATGCCTCTTTGACGTTCCTTGGCAGACGGAGTGCATTCCGGCTCCTTCTTAGGCCCGTAATCTTGGTCAGACCAATTTTACGCCTGAACTTGATCACCAGATTCCTTGCTTCTCTATTTATGCCAACTCTGGTGGTTTGCCCGGGGGGACCCCAGTTGGCACGCATTACTTGAACAAGTTCATTGACCCTTGGAACGTCCACCAAAGGCGTGTTGAGCCTTTCCAGGATGCCGGAGAGACCCGGGCCCGGGGGTCTTAGCAACAGCGGATCTTTGGACTTACGCCCCATCTCCAGGTAGGCGCCAAGGTGAGCCAGTCTAAGGTGCTGGGAAAGGCCTCTCTGTGTCTTAAGGTGTTTGGCACATAACGCACAGGCGAAATCCCCCCCATCCTGTTTTACCTCTCGCCCTATCCTGCATTTGCTCGCATGGCCTGTCATGGAGCTTGTTTTGGAGGATGAGGTGCCGCACTTAGCACACAACAGGAGGATCCTCCTGGCGCCGTGTGTCCTTTTTGAAGTGGGCTCCGGCCAGTCCCAGGGAAGACAGGTTGGCTACACACAAGGGACAGGGAGATGGGGCTTTCCAGGGTGCTCTAAGCCCGACCCATACGTGTGAAGGTAGCCTGCCCTTGGTGAGCTCAGGTAAGCCCACCATCCTTTTCATGTAGGACATGAAGAGTATATTCTCCAGCGGTTTGGTCTTTGGGAAAAGCGCCCGCTTTAGGCCCTCATTGATGGCACCTCTAGGCAGCTGCGGCGGCGGGGTGGAAAGCCGCCTCAGTGGCTCCCATCTTGGCCTCTTCACCATCTGCAGACTTAAGGGGGCTTGCTGGGCACCTCTCTTCCCCAGCGTCGGGGTGTGGAATCCGGGGTTTGGCCAGGACAGTTTTGGTCGGGTCTTGTCCTCCATTCCAACACCCCAATCTGCAAGAGTAATGAGAGTTAACCATCAGGGAAACCACCGAGGAGCTGCGAGGGTAGACAAGACCGCCACAAGCAACCCCACGGACCCGGGGAACAGTAGCGGCCCCGAACACCTCCCAGCTTTCTCAGGGCCATACATACCCAAGGGACGGAACGAGGTCAGGCCCGCGCGACCGTACGCCCTTAACCGCAACGACCGAGCGTCCAGAGCCCAGGCAGTTAATCACCCCCCAGTAATGCCGGACAACAGGAGGGTGCAACGAGGGCCATGAACACCAAGGGCCACCACAGTCCGACGCACGCTCAGCGAACGAGACACAGGATCACGAACACCAAGCTGTAGACCCACAACCACCACATTTTGGCGAACCCGGCCGAGCCGACCAGCCCCAGGTCCGGAGAACCAGACAAGGGGGAGCCGCCACGGCCGCGAACACCTTTACCAACGCCACCGCATAACGAACGCCCAGGGCACGCAACACATGGCAGCCCCCATCCCGACCGCGCGCCAGCAACCCCGACACCAACGGACGGGGCCGAGACGAGCGACCCCAAGCTCTGGCAAGCCAGATCAGAGGGAAGACGCAACGGCTCCGAACGCCATATGATGCCGCGGTTCGACGCGCGCCCAAGAAACAGGGGACCAGGTCACGAAACCCCGGCCATACGCCAGCCGCCACCGCATTAGGCAGACAAGGCTGAGACGAACAACCCCAGGGCCCGGCGGACCGGGCCGGTGGGGAGGCCGCAACAGCCCCGCTCCCAAACGCTACCGCATAACGCACGCCCAGGGCACGCGACGCAGGGCAACCCCCACCCCGACCGCGCGCCAGCAATCGCGACACCAACGGACGGGGCCAAGACGAACGACCCCAAGCTCTGGCAAGCCAGATCAGAGGGAAGTCGCAACGGCCCCGAACGCCATGCGATGCCGCGATTCGACGCGCGCCCAAGAACAAGGGGACCAGGTCACGAAACCCCGGCCATACGCCAGCCGCCATCACCATAACGCACGCCCAGGGCACGGGACACAGGGCAACCCCCCCCCCCCCCCCCGACCGCGCGCCAGCAACCGCGACACCAACGGACGGGGCCGAGACGAGCGACCCCAAGCTCTGGCAAGCCAGATCAGAGGGAAGCCGCAACGGCCCCGAACGCCATACGATGCCGCGATCCGACGCGCGCCCAAGAGCAAGGGGACCAGGTCACGAAACCCCGGCCATACGCCTGCCGCCACCGCATCAGGCAGACAAGGCTGAGACGAACAACCCCAAGGCCCGGCGGACCGGTGGGGAGGCCGCGACAGCCCTGAACACCATGGGATCCTCCAACTTTGTGTACGATCAAGAGACGAAACACAAGGCAACGCCGGCTCAATCGCACGCCCGACAACGTCACGCCCAGGTGAACAGGACGGAAACGATCGCCCCCCAAGTCCGGCGGAGCAAACAAGGGAGGGATCGCAACCGCTCCTAACACCATTCAACCAAAGAGGTCCGACGCGCGCTCAGGGATCGGCACCCGAGGCGATAACCCCCAGACGCACGGCGAGCAACCCCAAGAACCGGCGAACCGATCCAAGGAGGAGCCACCGCCACCCCAAACGTCCAATGGCCGCCACAGCCCGACGCACGCACGGGGGACAACACCCAGGGCAGCACCACCCCAACCGCACGCCCACAATCCCCACAGCAGGACCGCGGCTGACTCGCTTGTCCGGCCAACAGGTGAGTGTTCCGGAGGAACACTTACCTCTCCAAGTAACAGGGTTTTGGTGAAGGCACACTGGCTTCAGGGAACGGTCACTCTGTACTGGAGACGACCCACTCCGTTCAGCAGTCTGAAAGGAGATGAGACGTTACCTGATGAACTGGATGTCATCGCTATTAGATGGCCGTGGATCCATCTATTCAAAAAGGAATTATTAGGGTTAGAGGGGAAAGAGTTTGATTAGATGGTTAGGGTTCGCACATCCGGTCTACGACATACATACACTCGGGTTAGGGAACTCTCGAGTATTTCAAGAGGACTCACTGGTAAGTTACCTCCTGCCCCGGAGGACCGGGGCGAGAAGAAGAAGACACGAGACAGATCAAAGAGTTTATTTATTTGACTGCTGTGGATCAGTCACACTTCACGCCATTGTAGCCCCCCTCCTAGGGTGGGGGGCGAACTTTTGGATCAGGGATGACATGAACAGCGATTGGCAACACTGTCCACTGACTCCGGCCTGTACACTTTCTTAAGAGAGTCATAGTTACTCCCGCCGTTTACCCGCGCTTCATTGAATTTCTTCACTTTGACATTCAGAGCACTGGGCAGAAATCACATCGCAAAGGTCTGGGTGGGGATCTACGGGGAACTTCCCTCATCACGTCTGCGTAGGAGCGTGGGCCGCCTCGATAGCGCACGGTTGGGGAGGTTAGGTAAATGTATGGGATCCCTCCTCCAACTTGTGGAGTCGGGAAGTGTACGGGCCTTATTTCTCCATCCGTGCTGGGCGGTGTGGTTGGAGTTCCAGGTGTAGTATAGGTGGTAGGTGGGCTCTCTCCAGTGACTCACTCTCTCTCGCAGGCCCAGGGGGGGACTGCGGCTGTGGGCTCTATGGTCCCGTGTGGACAGACCATAGTGCAAGTGGGTCCCCTGTGGACCATTGCAGGCGTATGGTGAGTATCGTATGGGTCTGAGTGTTGGAGTCCAGTTATACTCTGGTATTTTGTTGTTTTTTATTTTTTAAAAAGATTTTAATTCAAAGGAAATTAAAAGGGTTAAAATTCAGATTGTCTCCTTTATGAGGGAGACAAATGAGAGACCTTTAAGGTCTAAATGGAATATAAAAATTGCGCGGGTTAAAAGGTTAAAAGGTGCTATATTGAAGGATAAAAACACGACGTTTCGACCGTGACTGGTCTTCATCAGGTGTAAAACAAAATGATAGCACGTTTGTAAGAGAGCTGTTCACGATGTGCACTGTCTGGAAAGCTGTTCAGACTGAACCAGAAGTGTGGGAGGACTGGCCTCTTATTCTCTCTTCCTCTAACAGGATTGGTTGGTAGGATGATTGGGGCTGGTCTCCACCTGTGTGGGGGAGACACACCTGTCTTCTGTTGTGGAACAGCTGGTGATGGAGGAAGGGAGGATGAATAATATTATGGATGTGCAATGGTGGACAGGGAATGTGAGCCATGGGTGTGAATGTGGGTTAACCTTTGGGAGGGATCAGGGTGGACCTTGATACAAAACAAATAGATTGAATTTAATGCTAAGGCGGGATTAAATAATAAAAACTAAAATAATAAAACATAAATTGTTGACATAGATTGTCATGGTGGTCAGGGGTCAAGATGGTTAAAAGAATGGGTAGGTCTAGGTCAGTTGAATAAATGGGTTACGTTTAGGGTTGGGGGTCAGGATAGGGTTGGATAAGTGAGTGTAGGTCCAGGTAAGTATTGTTGGTTAATTTTTTATTAGTTTGTTGTTCCCAGTAATTCCAGGTAAGTGGGTTAGGGTGGTCCAGGTTGGGATTAGGTCATTAAATAAATGGGTTAAGTTTAGGTCATTAAATAAATGGGTTAAGTTTAGGTGGTTAGATAAATGGGTTAAGTTTAGGGTAAGGGGTCAGGATAGGGTTAGATTAGTGAGTGTAGGTCCAGGTAAGTATTGTTGGTTAATTTTTGATTAGTTTTGCAGGTTGTTTCCCAGTAATTCCAGGTAAGTGGGTTAGGGTGGTCCAGGGTTAGGTCCTTAAAAAAATGGGTTAAGTTTAGGTCATAAAATGAATGGGTTGAGTTTAGGTCATTAAATAAATGGGTTATGTTTAGGGTTAGGGGTCAGGATAGGGTTGGATTAGTGAGTGTAGGTCCAGGTAAGTATTATTGGTTAATTTTTTTTTTACTTTACTAATGGCTGCTAGAGCTAGCGCGGCTACAGCTTAGCGTGAACGCGCATGACGTCATTACGCATTACGCTGCCCCTGGATGGTTCGACCCGAATCCTCAAATTCCAAGCATATAAAGACATGTTTTTAGGCATATAGAGGCAATTGCAGTGAAAATTCCAGGGCTCATTCTACAAACCAAGGCATTGCTGGAGAATGTATGTGGAAGACATTTTAATTCTGTATAGTTTTATAAGTGGTCAAACTTCCATATAGCCTCGAAGAGGCTATATATTCGGGTCGAATCATCCAGGGGCAGCGTAATGCGTAATGACGTCATGCGCGTTCACGCTAAGCTGTAGCCGCGCTAGCTGTAGCCGCGCTAGCTGTAGCAGCCATTAGTGAAGCTGCAGAGCGAGAGGTGACTGTGGGAGGATGGATACAGCGAAGAACAACAAGAGACCGGCTTCAAGCAGCACCGAAACTGCTGCAAAGACCCAAACTAAAGCAAAGAAACATAGAATTGTTTCTAGTGCGACCAAAAGGGCGGAACTCGAGTCTGACCGCCGTAGGCAACAAACGAGGGTAAACATTGGAGTTGTTTTTGAGAGGTGGAAAACTCTGACAGAATCTCTGTGCATGAGAAAAGACCCACAGTTGGCATCATTTCTGCTTGAAAGGTAAGACGACATCTCTAAACACATGTGTTTATGCTTTCAAAGCAGCGGTGTCCGTGCATCGCAAGCTACTTAGAGAAATACTATTTTTGTCTGCAACTAAGTTTTTATTTGTGGAAAGTGCTCAGAGCGAGACAATGATGGGTCCTTTTCAAAATACTATCTGTAATACACAGTTCTAGCAAGATCTCTGCGTCAAACTAACACACTAGCTAGCATTAGCTGGCAAGGCTAAGTTTGTTTACAAACAGGGCTTCTTTTTTTTTTTAGAACTAAACCACCTACAGCTTTAGCAAAGGTCTCGTTGTTTAGCTAAGAATGAGAGGGTTACGAACATGTTCCCGTTTAAATGTCTGCACATTGCAATGGCAATAGTAACTAGTTAGATGTAGAGCGTGTTGACTTTTCTAAACATGTGTTATTGTAATTGCCTCATTGCAATACTTGATATTGCCATCGTTAGCAGTAACAGCGGCTCTATTGTTCTAGTTTTGAGAGGCACACTATCAAAGGGACCACTCACGTCCACACCCCTGGTCCAAGCTGTTGCTGGGGCCCCAGATCCCCCCAGAATCTGATTGGTAAGTTTGCCAAATGCAACTTCTGTTTTCAGGTTACCACTCATCCACCGTCAACAAAAGTCTTTTGTCCTACAGGGAAGACCTTCATATCACAGGAGTTGAACCTCTGACAGCAAATAGGTTACAATCGTTGGAGAAAAGGTAAACATGCATGAATTTTATCATTTGATAAATACTGTTTTTTGTAATGAATGTAAAATGTCTTTTATTGTGAAGCAGCAAATCAATGGAGCTGAATAATGACGCTTTAGATGGGGAGCAAGCCAATAATCTTGAAAACAGTGTGTAAGTTGTACGTTATTCTCTATGTAATTCAATGTGTATATGTTGGTACATAATTTACATATTGGACTGTTCTTTTTTAAATTCCAGAATAGAGTGTGAAGGGGAAGTTTCAGACCCGTATGATTCAGATTATGTGCCAATCTCATTACAGTATGTACATTTTTTTTATTTTCTTATCTCTTACTTTTCACTCACTGATAGCATAAATTTCATTTGTCTTGTAAAATAGCGGTGCATCGCAGGATATGGTCGACAAACTTCCTTGCATTGGGCTGGAAGAATCTATATTACACAATGCTGACTGTGTTGAGGAATGTCAAAAAGCAGATCTTGAAGAAGAGGCAGCAGCCACCATTCCCATTTTCCCAAAACCATATGGAGTGGTTGTTGAAAGTGACCTTGTAAACCAGCAGGCATGCATAGCATACAACAAACCTGCTGCAGATGGCAACTTTTCTCCAATTGTCTGTCAATAAATGCCACTGCAGTGACCACACAGGCACAGAGTGTGACGGCCGTCCACCCTTTTCTGTAAAGTCACATGCGTGAGATCCATCTTTGATATTGGAGTGGGTGAGTTTACATGGTTTGCACATGTGTTTACCAGACTAAGTACAAATATGGTACATGTGTGAAGTTACAGACTTGTTAACACTTTCTTCCCCATGAGTACTGTGGTGCAAACACTGACCCCTGTCCGTCTGGCAGTGTAACGACAGTCCTGCCACTGAACTGTGCTGACTCAGTTATGCATCTGGAACTTAACAAAGTACAACAGAGTTCACTTTTTAAACCAATAGAGACTGTGTGTGTTCCTCGCACCAGCTCAGAAATGTGTTTTTAACTTGAATAAACACAAATTTAAAAGAAGGACAGCAGTTAGACGGTCCAACTCTGGAAATCTAATTCCAGTTCTTTGTAATCAATCAACTAAACCCACTGACACTGATATTAATTTTAACCTTGCTCTACTTAATGTCAGATCACTATGCAACAAATCATTTTTAATTAATAATTTTATCTGTTCGTATGATCTTGATTTTATGTTTATGACTGAAACATGGCTTGACCATAATACAGGAGATGCAGTTTTAATAGAAGCCTCACCACCAAATTTCAAATTTGAATATGAAACACGAGAAAATAAAAGGGGGGGGGGCATAGCAGCAGTTTTTAAAGATCGTATTGTCTCCCATAGGGTGTCTCTTGGGAAATTTTCATCATTTGAGTATGTTTCTTTTAAAATAGAACAAAAGAAATCTTCTTCCATTCTTATTATTGTTGTGTACAAGCCGCCACAGTCATGCCATAGTTTCACTGATCATTTCACTGAGTTGCTTTCAGTTGTGTGCACAGATTTTGATGGTTTAGTCATTATAGGCGATTTTAATATTCATGTGGATAATGTTAATGACAGATACGCAAAAGAGCTGAGTTCCATACTTGAATCCTTTGGCCTCACTCAGCATGTGAGTGGCCCCACCCATAGCAGAGGACACACCTTGGACCTGCTTATCACGAAAGGGGTGAATATTTCAAAAGTTAATGTAGTTGATGTTGCTCTGTCGGATCATTTCTGTGTATTTTTTAACATGTGTTTTGCTACCAGACCACCCGCTAAATATGAAATTGTTAGAAGTAGACACTTAAATGAAAACACGGGTGAACTATTTATGGGAATGATCCATTTTGAGAACACATCATGTTCTACTGTAGATGAACTGCTTAACTCTGTCACCTCTAGTGTGTTGAATGTTCTGGACGCCATTGCCCCTGTGAAGGTAAAAATGGTCACAAATAAGCAAAAAGCCCCATGGATAAAAGCAGGCCCGGTCAGGGCACAGAAGCAAGAGTGCCGGAGAGCAGAGAGAAAGTGGAGAAAGTCCAACCTCCAGGGTGATTATAGACTCTTAAAAGAGAAGTTGTGTGAGTTTAACAGAGTACTACGTAGAACAAGAGAATTATACTTTTCTGAAACTATTGAAGGCTGCAGCAACAATCTGCGTGTTCTATTTTCAACAATCAATAGATTAACGAACCCCCCTGTTGAGTTGCCATTAGAACACTACTCCAAATCCAGGTGTAATGAGTTTGCACAGTTCTTCAGAGACAAGGTTCAGGGTATCAGAAATGCCATCACCTCTACAACACAAGTAACAATGCAACATCCAGTGAGGCTTTGTGAGCTAGCTCAATTTGCACCTGTCAATGATGAAACTGTTAAAAAGATAATCACAGGTCTTAGTTCCTCTACCTGCAGTCTGGATGTACTACCTCCTAGATTTCTGAAGTCTGTTATGTGTAGTCTATTACCCTCATTGACACAAATAGTAAACATGTCTTTTTTATCTGGAACATTTCCAATGGCCCTGAAAAAGGCAGTCATTAGGCCCCTCCTAAAAAAGAGCAGTTTGGATGCTGCGGTACTTGAAAATTACCGTCCCATCTCAAATCTGCCTTTCTATGGGAAAAATTCTTGAAAAAGTTGCCTACCAACAACTTACTGAATTTTTAATATCTAATGACTCATTTGACATGTTTCAGTCTGGCTTTAGACCACACCACAGTACTGAGACCGCTCTAGTCAAGGTAACAAATGATATTCGGCTTAACACTGATGCAGGAAAAGTCTCTGTTTTAGTCATGTTAGATCTGAGTGCCGCTTTTGACACCGTTGACCATGGGATTCTCATGCAGAGACTGGAGGACTGGGTTGGTGTTGCTGGTACCGCCCTAAGCTGGTTTAGGTCCTATCTAGAAGAAAGGAAGTACTGTGTGGAGATTGGAAACTATGTCTCAGATAATATGGCCCTGACCTGCGGAGTGCCACAGGGGTCGATTCTGGGACCTCTCCTGTTCAATATTTACATGCTGCCATTAGGTCAGTTAATTCAAAGTATGAAAGTGTCCTACCACAATTACGCTGATGACACTCAGATCTATGTCTCACTGACTGCAGGAGAGCATGGGCCGGTGGACTCACTCCTTCGCTGTATCCAGCGGATCAGTGAGTGGATGCAATGCAATTTTCTCCAGCTAAATGCGGACAAAACCGAAATGATTGTCTTTGGTCCCGAGAAACAAAGAGAGACCGTCATTTGTCACCTTCAGTCTCTCTCCCTAAGGCCCTTAAATAAGGTCAGAAATCTGGGAGTAATAATGGACTCTGACTTAAACTTCAATAGCCACATTGGATCGGTAACATCAGCAGCTTTTTATCATCTGAAAAATATTGCCAAAATTAAAAATATTGTGTCCAGGGCAGACTTGGAGATTCTTACCATTCTTTTGTTTCCAGTAGGCTGGATTACTGCAATGGCCTGCTCACAGGTATCTCCAAACATGCAGTAAGACAGTTGCAGTATATTCAAAATGCTGCAGCCCGAGTCCTGACTAGAACCAGGAAGTACGACCACATTAGTCCGGTCCTCAGGTCTCTGCACTGGCTTCCCGTGGCCCAGAGGATAGACTTTAAAGCAGCTCTCCTGGTGTACAAGTCTCTCCATGGCCTTGCACCAAAGTACATCCATGATATGCTAGTCTCATATGAACCAGCCCGGACTCTGAGGAGCGCAGGGACGGGACTCCTGTTAGTGCCCAGAGTCAGGACTAGACAGGGGGAGGCTGCTTTTCAGATTTATGCAGCTGGAGTCTGGAACGGTCTTCCTGAGGATGTGAGACTGGCTGCCTCTCTGTCAATGTTCAAATCCATGTTAAAGACTTTTCTTTTTTCCCGTGCATACAACTAGAGAATTTTATCTTTTTAACACACCTTGTTATTTATTGTTGTAACTTTTTGTGTTTTTAACTATTTTATTGTTTTTAATTACTTGTGTGATTTTTATGTTTTTAAATTACTTATGTGATTTTAATGCTTTTTAATTACATATGTGTTTTTAATTGTATTTTAATGGTGATGATTTGTGCATTGTGTGGTGTGGACTGTGAGGCGCTTTGTGTTGCCCTGTGCAGGAAAAGCGCCCTATAAATAAAGATTGATTGATTGATTGATTGATAGTTTTGCCCGCACGGCCATAAATTATGGAGTTTATGCAAGGAGGAGATTTTATGTTCTCCAATATTTCCCTCTAATTCAAATTCATGAATATCTGCACGGTGCCTCCTCAACATCTTCTGCAGTCCAGGGAACCTACTGTCTAAAAACAATAAAGCAGTTTTGGGAGGAGAAAAAGACTGCTATTATCAACAGATTAGAGTCCAAAGACAACGTTGTCGCTCTTGGTAAGTAACATATTCATTTCTAAGCCCGTGTATACGTATGCTTACATGCCTTTTGTGTTTATGTTTTAGCTGACGGGAAGATCTACTTTCCAGGTAATGCACAAAGCTCTGTGGCATTTCATTAATATCGGTTTGTTGTTATTGAAATGTTTGTTTGTCATTATTATTTCCCCCACAATCTATATATTTTTCCAAAAAGGTCACTCTGCTATGTGCTGTACGTACACAACGATGGAGCTAGACACCACGGACATCGTAAGTGTTTATTGTATTTAACACAGGTCTGGTAAGACTTTTTTAAATATAATTGTGGTGTCTTCAATCAGGCTGAATCGTTTCTGGTCAAAAGGCTTTACTTGTATGGATTGAGGACATCTTTAACCAGTTGGTAGAGCGTTGGCCTTTGAGCCAGAAGGTCGTGGGTTCAAGCCCCGCTCAAGACTTTCACCATCGACTCCCACTGACTACTGTCGTTGTGTCCTTGGCAAGACACTTAACCTCTGAGAACACCAGCCACAGTGGGGCGGCTGCGGCTGTAAAGTGCCAAACTGCCGTTGTGTTCTCAGGCAAGACACTTCACCCTTCATTGCCTAGAATGAGTCTGGTGTGTGTGTGAATGGTTGGTGGTGGTCAGAGGGGCCGATGGCACATACTGGTTGCCTCGCTTCTGTCAGTGTGCCCCAGGGCAGCTGTGGCTACAGTAGTAGTTTATCACCACCGTGTATGGAGTGAATGAATAATGACATGTGAAGCGTCTTTGAGTGTCCAAAAAAGCGCTATATAAAACCGATGCATTATTATTATTATTATTATTTCTGGTATGCTTGTCAGCACCCAAGCACCAGAGAGGAGTTTATGGTCTGTATGAACATTGGATATTTATAACGTCACTAGATAATGTCATTTTCTCTCTGTGTGGTGACATGGTATAACTTTTGATATACAACGTATTGTATACATTTAGGGTGTGTGGAGAGGTGTACTTCACCAAATGTGCCTCTGGAGGATAAACGGGACAAAGAGCCCATTCCACGTGGTTCTTAACCAGAGGTGGCTGAAGGATATTGAGAAGTGTCTCACCTTTCGGTAAGTCATGTGGGTGACATCTTGTGGGAATGTACAGGAACTGCCTTTTTAATACTACAAAGTATATTATATTACACAGAGATCGAATTTATTTGTATGTTTGACGTTACAATAATCTTTGTTCTGTAGGACAACTTTGAAGCTCGACTCTTTCAAAACCACGTCCTGATGTACGCAGGGAAGCGTTTTGGATTTACTTATGGCGCCTATGAAGTTCGTACACTCCTCGCTGCATTAGACTACAACCTCCATAACCATCGCCCAGTGCATGTGAGCAGCAAAGGCCAAGTATCATAAGTCATACTTTATTATCAAGATTCAGTATGAAAGCAATAAAGAAATATATTATTTCTACTGATGTCTACAGAAAAAGTCTCAGCGTTACGCTGTGAAGGAGACTAAAGACTACAGCTCTATCCCAGACCAGTGCCTCAGCTCTGCTGGGGGGCTCATGACCCCAGGGCCATGGGTCCTCTGTCCTCATCATCCCTCCTCCTGCTGGGGGACTCATGACCCCAGGGCCATGGGTCCTCTGTCCTCATCATCCCTCCTCCTGCTGGGGGACTCATGACCCCAGGGCCATGGGTCCTCTGTCCTCATCATCCCTCCTCCTGCTGGGGGGCTCATGACCCCAGGGCCATGGGTCCTCTGTCCTCATCATCCCTCCTCCTGCTGGGGACTCATGACCCCAGGGCCATGGGTCCTCTGTCCTCCTCATCCCTCCTCCTGCTGGGGGCTCATGACCCCAGGGCCATGGGTCCTCTGTCCTCATCATCCCTCCTCCTGCTGGGGGACTCATGACCCCAGGGCCATGGGTCCTCTGTCCTCATCATCCCTCCTCCTGCTGGGGGACTCATGACCCCAGGGCCATGGGTCCTCTGTCCTCATCATCCCTCCTCCTGCTGGGGGACTCATGAGCCCAGGGCCATGGGTCCTCTGTCCTCATCATCCCTCCTCCTGCTGGGGACTCATGACCCCAGGGCCATGGGTCCTCTGTCCTCATAATCCCTCCTCCTGCTGGGGGCTCATGACCCCAGGGCCATGGGTCCTCTGTCCTCATCATCCCTCCTCCTGCTGGGGACTCATGAGCCCAGGGCCATGGGTCCTCTGTCCTCATCATCCCTCCTCCTGCTGGGGGACTCATGACCCCAGGGCCATGGGTCCTCTGTCCTCCTCATCCCTCCTCCTGCTGGGGGGCTCATGACCCCAGGGCCATGGGTCCTCTGTCCTCATCATCCCTCCTCCTGCTGGGGGCTCATGACCCCAGGGCCAAACGTCCTCTGTCCTCATCATCCCTCCTCCTGCTGGGGGACTGGAGCAGACACAACAGAGGACAGGTAGTGATGATAATCAAGTGGAAAACAAATCTCTATGATATAAAATATTTTTCTTTCTTTTTCTAGGACTTTTTTATCTGGTCCCTGAACAGAGGACAGCAATCAAAGATGGACACAGCACATTTATTTATATTATGTCAAATATAATTTTTTTCCCCCCAAACATTGAAATAAAAGAAAGACTTATTTCTAAAGTGGTGATGAGTTGCATTTTAGTTTTAATTCCCTACTGTGGAACGAATAAAGGGGCTCTTTATAACCCACATGTCCTGCTCTTCTCATTCCTGCCTGGCCTCTCCTCTTCCTCCTCTGGCTGCTCCTCTTCCTCATCTTGCTGCTTCTCTTCCTCATCTTGCTGCTCCTCTTCCTCTTCTTGCTGCTCCTCTTCCTCCTCTGGCTGCTCCTCTTCCTCCTCTGGCTGCTCCTCTTCCTCCTCTGGCTGCTCCTCTTCCTCCTCTTGCTGCTCCTCTTCCTCCTCTGGCTGCTCCTCTTCCTCCTCTGGCTGCTCCTCTTCCTCCTCTGGCTGCTCCTCTTCCTCCTCTGGCTGCTCCTCTTCCTCTTCTTGCTGCTCCACTTCCTCTTCTTGCTGCTCCTCTTCCTCCTCTGGCTGCTCCTCTTCCTCATCTTGCTGCTCCTCTTCCTCTTCTGGCTGCTCCTCTTCCTCTCTTTGCTGCTCCTCTTCCTCTCCTCCTCTGGCTGCTCCTCTTCCTCCTCTGGCTGCTCTCTCCTCCTCTGCTCTCTCTCTCCTCCTCTGGCTGCTCCTCTCTCTCTGCTCTCTCTTCTCCTCTGCTGCTCCTCTTCCTCCTCTTGCTGCTCCTCTTCCTCCTCTGGCTGCTCCTCTTCCTCCTCTGGCTGCTCCTCTTCCTCCTCTGGCTGCTCCTCTCCTCCTTGGCTGCCTCTCCCTCTGGCTGCTCCTCTTCCTCCTCTGGCTGCTCCTCTTCCTCCTCTGGCTGCTCCTCTTCTCCTCTCTCTGGCTGCTCCTCTTCCTCCTCTGGCTGCTCCTCTTCCTCCTCTGCTGCTCCTCTTCCTCCTCTGGCTGCTCCTCTTCCTCCTCTGCTGCTCCTCTTCTCCTGCTGCTCTCTCCTCTTCTCTGGCTGCTCCTCTTCCTCCTCTGGCTGCTCCTCTTCCTCTCTGCTCTCCTCTCCTCTCCTCTCTGCTGCTCTCTTCTCTCTCTGTCCTCCTCTGGCTGCTCCTCTTCCTCCTCTGGCTGCTCCTCTCTCCTCCTCTTGGCTGCTCCTCTCTCTCCTCTGGCTGCTCCTCTTCCTCCTCTGGCTGCTCCTCTTCCTCCTCTGGCTGCTCCTCTTCTTCTCTCTCTGCTGCTCCTCTTCCTCCTCTGGCTGCTCCTCTTCCTCCTCTGGCTGCTCTCCTCCTCTGCTGCTCCTCTCCTCCTCTCTGCTCTCTTCCTCCTCCTCTGGCTGCTCCTCTTCCTCCTCTGGCTGCTCCTCTTCCTCCTCTGCTGCTCCTCTTCCTCTCTGCTGTCCTCTCTTCTCGCTGCTCCTCTTCCTCCTCTGGCTGCTTCCTCTTCCTCTTCTCTCCTGCTGCTCCTCTTCCTCCTCTGGCTGCTCCTCTTCCTCCTCTTGCTCCTCTCTCCCTCTCTGCTGCTCCTCTCCTCCTCTTGCTGCTCCTCTCCTCTCTGGCTGCTCCTCTTCCTCTTCTGGCTGCTCCTCTTCCTCCTCTGGCTGCTCCTCTTCCTCCTCTGGCTGCTCCTCTTCCTCCTCTTGCTGCTCCTCTTCCTCCTCTGGCTGCTCCTCTTCCTCATCTTGCTACTCCTCTTCCTCTCTTGCTGCTCCTCTTCCTCCTCTGGCTGCTCCTCTTCCTCCTCTGGCTGCTCCTCTTCCTCATCTTGCTGCTCCTCTTCCTCATCTTGCTGCTCCTCTTCCTCTTCTGGCTGCTCCTCTTCCTCCTCTGGCTGCTCCTCTTCCTCATCTTGCTGCTCCTCTTCCTCCTCTTGCTGCTCCTCTTCCTCTTCTTGCTGCTCCTCTTCCTCCTCTGGCTGCTCCTCTTCCTCCTCTGGCTGCTCCTCTTCCTCATCTTGCTGCTCCTCTTCCTCATCTTGCTGCTCCTCTTCCTCTTCTTTCTGCTCCTCTTCCTCCTCTGGCTGCTCCTCTTCCTCCTCTGGCTGCTCCTCTTCCTCCTCTGGCTGCTCCTCTTCCTCCTCTGGCTGCTCCTCTTCCTCATCTTGCTGCTCCTCTTCCTCATCTTGCTGCTGAATATAATGTGGCTTCAGGCTTTTGATAATTCACTTTTCTTTACATTTGCTGAAGTATCACATTTTGGAAAATATACACATTGATTTGGTCTAAATATCATACAAAACAGTAACATGTCTTACCTCTGTTGAAGTCATCCCGCAAATCTGTAACTTATCGAGGACAGGACCATATCAGCTGTTTATGTTCTGTTCCTCGTGCACGCGCCTCTCAATCAGACTGCAGTTACACTTCTGGCCAGAGGGGGGTTCGTGAGCACAAAAATTGCAAACTCCGCAAGGCTCCTTTTTTTTTTTTTTTTTTCAAAATTGATATAGATACTTGGCAAATGCATATCGATAATCGAATCGCGGGAGAAAGTATCGTGATATATTGAAAAATCGATATATCGTCACACCCCTACATCACAGGCCTTCTAAAGCAGGTGCGTAATGACTTTAATATTACAGTCTGTCTACTTTTTTTGTTTTTTATATTTTTTACACATCAGGGGCTTCCCAAATCACTCCATCGCAGACCTACAAATTGACTGCTTCCCTGGGGGGAACTTCAGTCATGCGGCATCCTTCCTGGCAGGTGCAATCCAGTACACCAGAGTGGAGAAAGTACTGTTGTCCTTTGGGATTAATCACAGGGAACAGAGGGATAAGGGGCCTGCTGTGAGGCAAATGCAGGCAGCTCTCTATGCAGCCAAATCACGCTTTCCTTATGCAGAGGTCTGGATCCCCTCAATTAACTTCTCCAAGAACCTGCCACGCAACCAACAAGAGAACATAACACATTTGAATGAGCACATTGAAGGGAGGGAACACTATCCCGGCTATCCACACACGTACCTTTGCCACAAAGGCAGACAATGTTCACTGGACCAGACCCACGGCCGAAGCAACCTTCAAACACTGGGTTTCCTTTTTAAACGCCAGAGCCCCACAAGCTTAAGCACAAGGGGGCTTGAAACTGAAAAGGAAACCCAGAATGTAATGGTTCTTTCCAAAAACTTCCAGCCCTCAGAGGTACAACTTTGCCTACTTGGAAGAGGGCTCAGTTTTATCCCCACATTGGACCTGGAAAAGAATCACAGAGAACAATTAAAATTAGACCTTCAAAATTATCATAGGAGATTGAAACTCTTACTCCATTTCAAAAATAGTGGAGACACGTCCCAGTCCAGGCCGTTCAGAGGGACCTCGGAGTGGTCCCCTCCACAAGAACTCCTTCCCCCAGAAATGGCTTTCCTGATCATAGCGGATCTAAAAGAATTAGAGAAAAATCACAGAAAAACAACGGTCAAACAGAACCTCACTCAGGAGGAAAAGGAAGCCCTAAAGGAGCTGACCAATAACAAAAACATTGTTATTAAACCAGCGGATAAAGGGAGTGCTACGGTCATATTAGACAGGGACCAGTATACAATGGAAGTTCACAGACAAACTAAATGACACCACTTACTACAATAAATTGGACTCCCCCATCTATTTGGAACCAAAACCCCTAGTGGACAGCATCCTGGACTCACTTAAAACAAAAAAAATACATAGATCAAAAACAAAAAGAATACCTGAGAGGGAAGGAGGAGCCGAGGGCCAGGCTCTTTTATATACTGCCCAAGATCCACAAAGAACCTCAGAAATGGACGGTCCCATTCCAGATCCCACCGGGCCGTCCCATCGTCTCTGACTGCTCCATTGAGACGTATGGGACTGCCCAGTATCTGGAGTATTACCTCCATCCCCTGTCGACCAGACACCCGTCTTATCTGAAAGACACATATCATTTTATTGAATTAGTTAAAAACATAACGACCCCAAAAAACGCATTCCTTTTTACTATTGACGTGGACTCCCTGTACACCAACATTCATATCCCAGCAGGAATCCAGGCAGTCAGGAACATGATGACCAGATACCCAGACCCGACCAGACCAGACTCAGAACTCCTCCAGCTTCTGGAGATCAACCTGAGACGTAATGACTTTGAGTTTGATGGACAGTTTTATTTACAAGTCAAGGGAACGGCCATGGGCAAACGGTTTGCTCCCTCCTACGCCAATATATTTACGGCACGTTGGGAAGAGAGGGCCTTAGGTGAATGCCCCAGGAAGCCACTCGCCTACTACAGGTATCTTGATGATATATTCGGCATCTGGACACTCTAACAAAAGGAATTTGAAACATTTATAAACAAATTGAACTCAATTGACCCCTCGATTAAACTTAAACACATAGTTAGCCCCCACAGTATAGACTTCCTGGACACAACAGTTTTCAAAGGACCATTATGCGACCAGTCAAATAAATCAGACCTGAAGGTGTACTTCAAGGAAACTGACACGCATTCCCTCCTCTACAAGACAAGTCACCATCCCAAACACATTTTTGCTGGAATAGTCAAATCCCAATTAATGCGATTCAAACGCATCTGCACACAGGACGAGGACTTTAGAGAGGCAGTACATACCTTGTTCAGGGCTTTGAGGAAGAGAGGATACTCCAGGTCCTTCCTGAGAATCTGCCTCTCCACATTTGAGGAGAGGAAGGACAAACCCCAGGGGGAGGTGGTCCCCTTCATCTCCACCTCTTCAGAGACCGCACTGTTATTGAGACCCAGACTCAGGGACAATTATGACAAATTCATTCACACACAGGGACTTCTGCCGAATCATAGATTCATTGCAGCACACAGGAGGAATAGGAATTTGAAGGATCGCTTGGTCACAGCCAAACTCAAGCCACTCCAGGAACCAGACCTCCCCAGCAGGGAGGGGAACATTCTGATCCGAAGGACTTTTGTTCACAACACGACTAAGAGAGTCCTTTATAAAGTGACCCAGTTCTTTGGCCCCCAGACACATAATGTGGTCTATTTGATTAGGTGCAAGAAGTGTAAATTACAGTATGTGGGAGAAACAGGGGGATCACTTGGGGAACACGTGGGGAGACTCAGGGGTGCACTGGAGAGGAGGGAGGCCTCCTCCTCCTCCTCCTCCTCCTCACTCTGCCTGTCTCACTTCCTGGTACACGGCCTGGAGGCGCTGGAGCTGTCTGGACTCCAGGCTAATTGTACCTGGACAGACACAGAGAGGGGAGACAGAGCCAGTCACTGGATAAAATTACTGGGAACAAAGACACCCCATGGACTTAACTAGACCCCAGCCCTAACCTTTAACCCTAAACTTAACCAGTTAGACTCTTGCCTAAACTTAACCAATTAGACCCTAACCTAAAACTTAACCCATTAGACCCTCACCTAACCATAACCCTAAACTTAACCAGTTAGACCCTTGCCTAAACCTAACCCTAGGACTTACCTAACCCTACACCCTACCCTCACCCTTACGTGGACCTCCGGAGCAAACCAGGAAGTGAACAGGACGGGGTTATCACACTGGATACAGTTGTTTGAATTATATTTATTTCTAAAAAGAGAAATCACACGAAAAAAGGGATTAAAACCTGTAGCACAAGTGGTGCACACAAAAAAAGAATAAAAAATATATATAAAAAAAACAAAAAACCTTCTATACAAATATTAAAAAACAACAAAGTTCATGTTAAAAACATTCTAAAGTTCATCATTCTTTATTATTTTTTAAGTTAAAAACAACCTTGTTTAAGTTAAAAATGACATGATTTAAGTTTCTCCATTTTTGAAATCCGAAGAGCCAATGGAGACGCAGGGGGCGGAGCCTAGCTATATCAGGAGCGGCTCTGACCCTCCTCACTCATTCATTCGCTCGCTTCACTCAGACACAACCTGAGGAAGACCTAAACGGTCGAAACGTCGTTTCACGTGTCTACACGCTACTTACCTACATAGGCCCAGTCCCAATACCCACACTGCCCCCTACACACTTCTACGAAGTGTGCATTTGTTCGAAGTGCACACCAGGGTTGGAGTGCGCAGGTTACAAGTGTGCAAAAAAGGCAGAATTGGGACAGTGCACACTGAGTGCAGGTTACGTCATCGACTCGTCAAGAGATGGTCATTTTCAGACCTAAACTTTATAAACATTAAAGGTAACTTTGTCTGACCCTTTGGGAAACAAAATGAATTGCTTCACACACACGTTAAAATACATGTATATTAGTTGTTTTTAATTAGAGATAGCTGTATAATTCTAAGTTAAATGTGGGTAACTAACTATCTGGTCAGTATTTATACATTCTAAGATTATTGTACTAAGTGTAAAGTTTAAATTGAATGTTATATAAACGCTTGTTTTAAAAAGTTATTAAATTGTTAAAACACAATGTCCGTAATTCTTCATCAGACATTTATGCTTCTTTCCAAGTAACAGCAAAACTTATTTACACACATACTGCATATATATTTCAAAATTTATATTTAAATCCATTTTCCCGACGTTTTGATGTGTACCGCAAAGAATTATGGGCAATATCCTTCGCCAGAGTGCGCATAGATGCAGGCTACGGCGAAGTGTGGATCAGGGGTGCAAAGGGGGCGGGGCCAAAGACCTCCCTGGAGAATTGGGACACCCTACGCACTCGCACCCTTTATCGGGAACGCGCAAATGAGGGGCGCAAGGGTGGAAGTGCGAGTATTGGGACGGGGCCATACTCTACAGTTAGGCTGGGAGTATGGCGTATGACGGACCTTGGGTCAACGGTGGCGCCTGCAGGGCCACAGCGGTGACCGCCGGGGCCGTGGGACCCGATCATGGATCTATTATATTAACTGGATAGGGTATTACTAGCTTGTAGCTGAATAACTCATGTGCTCAGGGGATTCTCGCTGTACTGCAGACTGAACCAGACTGAACCAGACTAAATTCACGTGGGCTACCCACAAATTTTCCCCATAGAACTCAATGCATATTAAAATAGCTCGACCTCAGCTGACAGAGAACCTGACAGAGAACCTACAGCTTTAATAAAGATAGGATTTTGTGTGGATTTTAGTGTCCCTTGTTGTCCTGAACTTTTTTTCTTCTTAAATCCTTCGGTTTTGTTTAAATCCACACTTTAGTGCCACAGACTCTGCTCGTCTGGCTCTCGCTCTAACTCCCGCTCTGATGAACTGCTCTGATTGGTCAGAGCGCGGCCGAGCCCCTCTGTGCACGTGCGTGAGACCCTCTGTGCACGTGCGTGAGACCCGGTGTGAGACCCACACACGCGTGTTTGACGCAACGCATTATGGGAGATCATCCACTGCACAGAACCGGGAGGACCAGACGATGCCCAAATACAGAAGAGTTTCCTATTGAGAATGAGGAGTCACGTGATAATTTGGGCGGGGTCTAATCCGGTCGGCCATGTTGATAGGATCCTCTATCGGTTGCCAGGGGCAACGCCACTAACGCTCAATATATACAGTCTATGCTAACGCTCCAGAGGTCTTTAACTTGAGCGCGTTTATTATTTCGGCAATAGATACATCTACGATTACAACACTAGCAAGACAGTTAATGGAGAAAGTGAAGGCGAAAGGAAATGGACCGTACAGGGAAAAGCTTCTACCTACGGCAAAACAACGTTATTTGGAGAAGCTCTCAGACATACAGCAGGTAGACCCATACGAGCTTCCTGCAGCGGAGTGGCAAAAAGACCTTGACTTTTTGCCTCCGTGCACGTACATGGATATAGTGAATTACCTTGTTTTCGGTGTTAGTTATTATACAATGCAGGAGTTTAGAAGTCACAAGTCACTGGAGAGTTACGAGGCTTTCTGCTGTGGTTGGGTGCAGGACTTGGCCATCTACAAGCCTCCAGGCGGTGAAAACACCGTTGTACTTGCACTAACAGCAGTGTTACTATTTTATTATGTTGTCCATCTTTTCATGCTGAAATATTTATACGTTGACAGCACACGTTCTTTTCTTAAGCCGAATTGTGCCACTGATCAGCTTAAGAAAAGAACGTGTGCATTCAAAGTATAAATATTTCCAGCATGTAAACATAAACAACATAATAATGAAATACTATAATTAGTGCAAAAGAACAAAAAACATACAAAAAAACCCCATTTTTTTATTGTTTGGATGTTTGTTCTTTTGCACTAATAACAGTATTATTATTACTTATGTTGTTTATGTTTACATGCTGGAAATATTTATACTTTTAATGCACATGTTCTTTTCCTGAGCCAAATAGTGTTTTTTTGTTGGTATGTTTGGTTCTTTTGCACTATCAGCAGTGTTACTATTTTATTATTATGTTGTCCGTCTTTTCATGCTGAAATATTTATACGTTGACTGCACACGTTCTTTTGCACTGTTAACTTTTCCAAGAGGTTACACCCCCCCTCCAAAAAAATGTTAATTTCTCAATAAATATTGCTTTGCCACATGAAGGTGTTTCAAACATTTATTTCAAAGAAATTAAAAAGGCAAGGCAAGTTTATTTGTACAGCACAATTCATGTTACAAAACAATTCAAAGTACTTTAAATTAAAAATTAAGAAGCATTACAGCTGGGTGCAGAAGCATTAAAAAGTAACAGAATAAAAAGCATGATTTAAAATTAAAAACAAAAATTCATAAGAAAAAGATAACAGACAAGTAATTCCAGCTTAAAAGAAGCCGAGCAGATTTGTACATTAGAATAAAAAATATTCAAAAGCAGCTGAGAACAGGTGGGTCTTTAACCTGGATGTAAATAAACTGAGTGTTTCAGCTGATCTGAGGCTTTCTGGGAGTTTGTTCCAGACATGTGGAGCATAGAAGCTGAATGCAGCTTCTCCGTGTCTGGTTCTGACTCTGGACTCGGATCC